GCTCACAACAAAACAGCATTTACGGACAGAGGAGTTGTTGTAGTTGTTGTTGGTCTTTGCCGACAACAAACATGTTGTCGACGTACTTTAAAGTTAATGCCAGTATGTTTGAAAGGGGGCATTAGTTCTGTTTAAGGCTATTTTGCATTTTTAAATACATGCCTACAAGTTTTATAGTTGCCACCATAAATAGCAGCATAATAATAAATAGTAGTTTTCTTACTTTCAAAGTAGATGTTTCGCAGAACGACAGCTTCAATCACCATTCACTTTCACTGTATAGAAAAGATGCAATGAAATAAATGGTGATTTAAGTTGTAGTGGTGATCCTACATAACATTTTCTCCTTTAAATCTACAGTACTGCAAGGGTCCCTATATATTTTTTTCTGATAGCTGATGATAAATGATACGAATAGTACAATATTTTCCAAAATGCTTGTAATTGTGTACATTTCCAGAACATGTGCATTGTGCCATATTTCTTCGATTTGAGAAAATCTAATGTAAGTAGAGACTTAAAGGTAAACATTTATTATCTATCATCAATGCTTTAATGGCATCTAGCGGCGAATATCTGTACCGTACTGTGTTGTTTATTTTTGTATTTTTTAATAACCTTTCATTTCAATCAAGCATGGCTTCTGCTGGACAATTTAATATTTAATTAATATTATTTTGAGAAAACGAGTCTTCAGACATCAAAGTACAATTGTCTGGATTTTATAATCATGTAAGCCCACTGTACAATGTTAGTGTTTTTGAAGTTATATCGTTTTTTCGTTCAGACTTTTGCTCTTTCGAAGAGTGAACTGAGTGATGTCTGCTTGTGAACTGAACTGAACTGAGTCGTTTGAGTGATTTGTAACCACATTCACGAGGAGCCACCAACACAACAGGTCTCTGGAGACTTTGACAGGCACAGCGCACAGCGCAGTTGCCAAGGTTAAAATGCAAAAAGTCTGAGGGCAAGATTTAATCTTTGGATCGATATGAAACCCCTTGTATATTTAAAAAAATAACGAAGAGAGGATCGAAGAGTGGCTTTCAACCGGTTCCGCACAGGTGAGGAGCTGCTAATTTATATATATATATATATATATATATATATAAACATAACTAGGCTATTTACTCCCTTTTACTTAAAAGTAGGAAGTAAGGATTTTCTTATTTTTCCACGCATAGTTTCCGGCGTTTTGAAAGTATGTTTTCTGTTGTATGAAATGTCACATATTCTTGCTCCCTCTTTACCTGATCAGGCACGTTTAAAAGTATAATTTTCTTATCTTTGATTTTACATGCTTATTTACAACTGTTCAGCAAGAATTGGCTCTTTGTCTGGCAGAGGTAGGAATCATGGCATGCTGATTTGTCAATATAATTTATCCTCGAGCTGTTTTCTGCTTCTCGTTGCAGCTCATTTTTTGACATTGATCCAGAGTTTCACCATGTCAAGTGGAGTTTTGGGCCGTCTGAGTTCGCTGACTTTGAGTGTACAGCAGCTGGGTCAATTACCACACTTGTTGAACTGGTTGCCCCGTCTACCTTTACCTCAAGCCACCGTACTTGCCTCTGATGTGCCGAGTCTGTTTCGTGAACCCTATATCTTGTCAGGCTATCGTCCAGTGCATCTGGAATGGTGGAGTTACTTTTGTAGCCTCTTTCAATGCCACAATGAGTTGCTCAATGTATGGACACACCTGCTGGCAATCCCTGCCATTCTACTCCAATTTTCTTTATTTTGGGGCTGACACTCAACATGGCGTCTTTGCCTCTGTTTTTGTATGTGTTGTCATCACTTACCTACCTCAGTTTCAGCGTGGCCGCCCATCTGCTGCAGTCATACTCTGAACTAGCTCATTATTCCTTCTTTGTAGACTACGTTGGTGTAGCTGTTTACCAATATGGCTGCTCGCTAGGCCACTATTTTTACTGTTCAGAGCCAGTATGGAGGCACAGTGGGTGTTGTGTTTCTGCCTGGTGCCTCAGTCCTGGCCTGGTTGTCCTACACCAGCTGCTGCTATGCCAAATTCCGTTACCACCGTCCGTACCCGCTCCACCAGAAGATCTGCCAGATCATTCCCACCAGCCTGGCGTACATGCTTGACATTAGCTCCGTAGCACACCGCCTGGTCACCAGAGCAGTCTGTTGTAGATGTGCATGGAGAACGCTTCATCTTACTGGCTGGAGGATCATTCTTCTTGTTGGTGTTATGCAGTGTTCTGACTGCAGTTCTTATGAGAGGAGTTGCAAAGGCAACTAAAGAAAAAAGACTGAAAACAAATTAAATCATTTTACAAAGCATATTTGCTTAGTTATATGCTGTAGTACTAAGAAGTATTTATTATTATAAGTTTTAAAATTAAAATAATTTTCTTTTAGTGCATTTATTATGAGAATTGTGATGGGATGTCTTTTCTTTCTTTCTTACTTTTTTATTTTAAAAGTCCCACAATCACATTTTGAAATCCCAGATATCAGTCTAAGGGAGGCAGTTTATATTTTAACTATCAAATAGTTGTACAAATCAAATCAAACACAAATACTAAGTTGGTTTTTCACAAATGAATTCACTGCTGACGATAATCTACCATTTAGCCGACATTCCTCTGAGATCCAGTACTGTATGGCTTTGCATAACTGACCTGTTTACATTAAACTGTTTGGAGTCTGGGACATGAGTTTTTCAAAAGCAAAAGCGTTCAAATTAAAGGCAGGGTAAGCGATTTCTGGTAGCCAATGTTGATATTTGAACTCACCAAAACAAACACGCCCCTACCCCAAAAGGGTCTTGCCCCTATTTTGATAGCTCCGCCCCACATATACGTACGCAACCCAGGCAACGATTAGTTCTGTGAAACAAAGCAAAACCAATGTTACACCGTGTCTACATTGGACGTGAGCGGCGCGGAGCAGCGCAACAAATCCCCGACAGAAAACTGCTGCCGGGTTCTATTTATGACGTGCTGACACAAATTTAAAATGGTTTTCAACGGTCGTTTGATCGCGTCCAGTGTAGGCAGACTTTAGCTGTTGTAGACACGGTGTTACTCACCTATTGAGAAGAAACAAAGCAACCTCGGCGTCCGATCGCAGGCCTCCGCTCCTTGAGTTCTCTCCAGCGCTGGAAAGCTGATCCAATATTTACACGGGTCCTACTTCTTGCCTTATTGCCTTAAGCCTTCTTTTGTTCCGCAGACGTTTTCCTCTTTTGTTTTTTATCCGTCATCTCTATCTTTCTGTCGCTCGGCTCGGCTAATGTCCGTCCCATGCACTGAAAGCTCTCTCCTCCACTTCACGAGTAGACACGCCCCTTATTGTTGATTGGCTACAAGTTTGTTTTGCTATTTGGCCGAATCAGTTTTCTAAAGTGTTTTTGAAAAATTACATACCCTACCTTTAAGGAATAAAGCTGGATTTGGCCCAAATTAGAATGAGGGAGAGTTGGAGGGGTGAGGGATAAGGGAGGCTACTTTTATTTTGCACTCAGCGTTGTCAGGCAACGGTGTTGTGGTGGAGGAACAGATCAACTCTTGCTTGCTTCTTGTGTATCTTATAGAATATTCATGTAGAATATATACTCTCTTCATAAAATCGAAATACCATCTGCAGGCCTGAACAAAAATTTCCTGCTTAAATACTTTGTTGTCAGGGTGTGCTGTTATATACTGTGGGGTCCAATAGTCTAGGACCACATTGAAAATATGGTAGTCAAAATCTGATTTAAACCTATAGAGAAAAATAAAGTTTTAGGATTTAAAAAATGTAAAGCAACAAATCACTGGGACGAAAAAATGTTACACTGATAACAAATGTATTTAATAATAACATATTTACAACACTGATAACATCTTTATTTAATAACAAATCATTTTAACCTCAGTTAAACCCTGGTGTTTAAACAAAAAATATGCCTTAGATATTCCTTTGTACTTCAATAAATGTTTACATTAAAATTAGGGCTGTCACTAACGATTATTTTGGTAATAGAGTAATTGGTCCATTATTCTGACGATTAATCGAGTAATCGGATAATTATAATTAATTTTTTCGTGGTAATAAAAATAGACCCAAGCAAACAATAGTCTTTAAAATGACTTTTAAATACATATATAATAACAATGAGGCATAATAATTAATAATATTTTTTGCATTCCCATTTGCTCAAATAGCAAAAGAAAAACTCCACGATAGTGTTTTCATGACTTTCAATAAAAGGGAAAAAATTGAGAGAGACTGATAACGGCAGTCAGAAGAGAGAACGATGTCAAATTTACCGTCCCTCCCATAGACTCTGCATTAGAAACACCCTCGCATTAGCGTTAACTGTTTTTTTGTCATTTGATGCAAAGGTGATATAATACAAAGAATAGTGTTATAAATGTACATACATTTAAAAAAAAATACAAATATGAAAAACTTTCGAGGATTTACGATGCTGATGACCGTTAAATCACAGTCTTGTGAAAAGGGTCCATCGAGGATCTTGAAAACTGAATCAAGGACTCATGACAGCCCTAATTAAAATCCATGTAATAAATCTTTGGTGAGTTTTCATTTTAGTTAAGCAAGTTGAATGAGACTTATTTGTAGGCTATGTAAAAAAAAATCTCACTTTCAGTGCATCAGAACGGTAGTTTTTGTGCAAGGAAGGATCAGCCACGCGTTTATCATACATCCTTTGTCCATTAGGTGGCAGCAGTGTTCCATTCATGAACTGAAACTTTTTTTGTTTTAATTAAGTTGTTTGTTTAAATTAAGATATCATTCAAAACAGAACTAACCATTATATATCAAATCTGAATAAGGAATGAGAAACTAGGAGTAACTAAGCTAACTGAATAAGTATGCAAGTGAAGTGGTTTGTTTTAAGGGATGTATGGATTAGGCACTGGAGTGACAGAAATCCAGAATGAGGAAATGTGACTCTGTCAAATCCCTGTTGGATCAGTGTGTTGCTGCCAGTAAAGACAAGATGATGATGGGTGATCTATGATAGTGTAACTGAGGTCAAAGGTAAGGGGACATTCTCTTTCATTCTTTTAGGCAGACTGAGAGAAGGCGGCTGTTTATGGATATTAGTTTCTGAAAAATCTCACACAGATGATGTACAATATCAGAGCATGAATATTCGTTTGAAAGATTTATATGCTTAAGGTACATTTTAAACTGCTTTGGGTATTACCTCTTAGTATTTTAATATTTATACTTTTTGGCATTACTTTTCAACCGCTACTGTGTCTCCTTGCATTTTTAAAATAGTAATATGCTTAACATTGCAGCAACACCAGTCTGTGTTAACATGAAAGAAGGTGTGACTTGTACAAGTACTCACCTGTGTAGTCATCGTGTTTGTGAGAACCGTAATAACTGCTTACATTGTATTCGCTTTCATCTCATTGAGAATATCAACTGTTACAGATTATTGATTTTACTTTCCTTCAGTTCTTCCAGTTCAGTCATTACAGAAACTGTATGAAGAGTGATGGCTCCTGTTGAGGAGGGTCTGATCACCTGGTTATCAGGTTGTTCTTCCTCCCTTCAGATTAGCATTGTGTCAGCCATCTTCATCATCATTTATGTCACAGTCTACAGCCTTTGTACTAGCTGTTTCAGGTAAGTCTTTCATTTTCTCTTTTTCTTTTTTATGTATATTTATATGCATATTTAGGAATTTGGTTATTATCACATCTTGTGCTGATTCAAAACACACCCAGGAGAAGGGAGTGATTGTAACAGAATGCTGTGAGTAAATGGGTGGAATGTGCAATGACAGGTTCAGAAGCACAAGTCACCAAGTGCCCAAGTCACGCAGCATGAATAACATTAATGTCTGTGTAAGAAAAGTAGAGACCTGTTTGTCAAGTCCAGTACCTTTGTGTTTATGTAAACCACAAAGATGGATTGATAACATCATGTTTGCATGCAGACACCATGCAAAAAAATATCAGGAAAATAAACAGGATGTAAGGTGGATGCTACTGTATATCTGTAACATTTGAAATAGTGACTTTTCTTTTTTTATGTCTCCAGTATGTCTGACAGTGTTTCACCCAGGTATTTGCTCAGACGAGAGAAAACAAATATTCCATCGGCACCTCAACAAAATGTAAGAGACTGATATAAGACAAAACTCATATTCAGAATACAATATATACAGTAAATTAGTATTACTCTTGGCTATTGCTTCAATGGATTATTGTTCAATGTATTCTGTAAAAAATGGCCAGGTTGCTTAAAAAATGTGCTTCACTTGACAACATCTAAATTACTTGATTTTATTCAAGTCCAAATATTATTTAAAGGAATAATTAACTCCCAAAACGTACCATTTGCTGAAAATTTCATAGATGAGTTTGTTTCTTCATCAGAACAGATTTGGAGAAATTTAGCATTATATCACTTGCTCACTGATGGATCCTCTGCAGTGAATGGTTGCCATCATAATGAGAGTTCAAAAAGCTGATAAACTCATCACAATAATCCACAAGTAATTCACATGACTCCAGTGCATCAATTAATTAAAGTGTTTTAACTATAAACCATCGCTTCTGGCCAAAATCGCAGTCCATATTCCATAATAATGCTTCCACCTGTGACTGTTAACTGTTTTGGACTGTTTTTGCTTGTAAATTATGCTTGATCTGTGCATATTTCTCTCCTGATTCAGACTAGATGACTTTTTTTTTATGGAGAAAGCAATATTATGTTCAGAGGATTTGTATTCTAGCCAGAAGCAAAATGTCTTAGTGATGGATTTGTGTATAACAAACACACAGCTTGTGGATTGCTTACATTACTTGCTGCTTGTGGATTATTTTGATGTTTTTATCAGCTGTTTGAACTCTTATTCTGACTTATTCTGAACTTAACCATTCACTGCATTCATTGGTGAACTGCTGGATCTATTGGTGAGTAAGAAATGTTTTTCTTGGAGATATTTCTCCGGATCCGTTCTGATGAAGACACAAACTCATCTACATCTAATAAGATAAGTAATTTCTAGATAGTTATTGGATTAATCTTCTAAAGGAAATTACACTTTAATGGAAAGCAGACAGAGAAAGCTAATGATTTAAAAAAATAATAATTTTTAATAGGACCAACATAAAAGTCCTAGTATGTGACATGAACTAATAAATAAATTCATATTCTCACGAACTAATGTCCTTATTACAGAAACTACCTGAGTCCCAGAGTGTTGAATATATGCTAGATGCCAAGGATCTAACTGATCATATATACTCACTCGTGGAGGCTGAACTGAATGAGGAAAATCCTTATGAGTGCATTAGTGAGCCTCCGTTACAGCCTCCATCTGACAAAGCTGACGGGGAGAATGAGAGCCCTTCCCCAGCAATGACAAAGCCTGATGATAATCACTCTGTCTCAGCCCTCAACAAAGCAGTAAACAAGCAGGCAGTGGAGCAGCCTGATGCTTTACCTCAACATTTGACCGACTCAGAACCGACTGCTGTCTATGCTGCAGTGAACTGGAAAACCAAGAGTCAGAAGAACATAACACCTCTCTCTGATACGGATACTGTGCTTGATATGAGTGATATTGCTATGGAGGCTGTCCCTCCCATTCCAGACAAACATTTCTAGTATGACGAAAGGGCAACATTTTCATTTACAATGCATTATTTGTATTTATTCACATTTTGCAAGCCTTAAAACAAACTTGCAACACATATAAACATTGTTAGAAATAAGTATTTTTGTATTTATTGATTTTTATCATGTGAACTAATAAATATATCCATTCATTGCTGCAACTTCATATAAAACTATAAAGGAAGCCAACCATGTCTGGGTTATTGTAGGTCAGTGTGAGTCACATGACACAATGCCTCGAGCCAATACCCAGACTGGATTCAGAGACTGAAACCCAACATGCTCGTGCTGTCCAGACCTAAAATCCCCTTTGGAGGATGAAGTCCGTCGGGCACGGCCGCCGACAGAAGAAAGCTTATAATCCCCAGATATCATTACATGATGAACGCTTTCTTCCAAATGTCTGTTTGCAAATACACAATGCTGAATATTTAGGAAATAGACCAAATGAAGTAGGTGAAAGGTGACACGTCAACGGACTGCTCTGGAAACTGCAGAATGCTGTCTAAACTGGACAACTAACTTAGAATGACTTAAAATAACACTGCAAGCAAATAATTATGCGTTAATGCTACAGTGCTATCATCTATTTATCTATCTATCTATCTATCTATACAGTGGGTATAAAATTAATCACCCCCCTTTAAAATAATCACATTTTGTTGCTTTGCAGCCTGAAATGAAGACAGGCACAGTTTTTGTTTTATCCAGCTTTATTTACTCAGTGGAACTTATATCATCTAAGTGAAAGATATAACACCAACATGTCAATAAAAAAAAGAATAAACAGAATCACTGATTTGGAAAAAGGATCACGCCCTTGTCAGTATTTTGTTGAACCACCTTTTGCTTTAATTACAGCCTTTAGTCTGTAGATATGTCTCTACTAACTTTGCACATCTAGACTCTTCATCCACTCTTCTTTGCAGAACTGCTCAAGTTCAGTTAAATTTGATGGTGACCTTTTGTGGACTGCAGTCTTCAAGTCATTCCACAGATTTTCAGTGGGGTTTAAGTCTGGGCTCTGACTAGGCCATGCAAGGACATTCCCCTGTTTCTCCTTCAACCACTGTGTGGTCAGTTTTGCTGTATGCTTTTGGGTCATTGTCATGTTGGAAGATAAACCTTCTTCCTATTGACAACTTTCCGGCAGAAGGCAGAAGATTTTCCTCAAGAATTTGATGGTATTTTGCCCCATCCAGTCCCTGCTGCAGAGAAACACCTCCATGCTTTACTGTAGGAATTTGGATGGTGAGCTGTATTGGATTTCCGCCAGACATATCTTTTGGTGTTGAGGCCAAATAATAAAATTTTAGTCTCATCTGCCTGAGAACCACTTGAGAATCAAGTGGCCTTTCTTGAGGAATGGCTTTTTCTTGTTGCAACCCTTTATTGATTTTTATCATGTGAACTAATAAATATATCCATTCATTGCTGCAACTTCATATAAAACTATAAAGGAAGCCAACCATGTCTGGGTTATTGTAGGTCAGTGTGAGTCACATGACACAATGCCTCGAGCCAATACCCAGACTGGATTCAGAGACTGAAACCCAACATGCTCGTGCTGTCCAGACCTAAAATCCCCTTTGGAGGATGAAGTCCGTCGGGCACGGCCGCCGACAGAAGAAAGCTTATAATCCCCAGATATCATTACATGATGAACGCTTTCTTCCAAATGTCTGTTTGCAAATACACAATGCTGAATATTTAGGAAATAGACCAAATGAAGTAGGTGAAAGGTGACACGTCAACGGACTGCTCTGGAAACTGCAGAATGCTGTCTAAACTGGACAACTAACTTAGAATGACTTAAAATAACACTGCAAGCAAATAATTATGCGTTAATGCTACAGTGCTATCATCTATTTATCTATCTATCTATCTATCTATACAGTGGGTATAAAATTAATCACCCCCCTTTAAAATAATCACATTTTGTTGCTTTGCAGCCTGAAATGAAGACAGGCACAGTTTTTGTTTTATCCAGCTTTATTTACTCAGTGGAACTTATATCATCTAAGTGAAAGATATAACACCAACATGTCAATAAAAAAAAGAATAAACAGAATCACTGATTTGGAAAAAGGATCACGCCCTTGTCAGTATTTTGTTGAACCACCTTTTGCTTTAATTACAGCCTTTAGTCTGTAGATATGTCTCTACTAACTTTGCACATCTAGACTCTTCATCCACTCTTCTTTGCAGAACTGCTCAAGTTCAGTTAAATTTGATGGTGACCTTTTGTGGACTGCAGTCTTCAAGTCATTCCACAGATTTTCAGTGGGGTTTAAGTCTGGGCTCTGACTAGGCCATGCAAGGACATTCCCCTGTTTCTCCTTCAACCACTGTGTGGTCAGTTTTGCTGTATGCTTTTGGGTCATTGTCATGTTGGAAGATAAACCTTCTTCCTATTGACAACTTTCCGGCAGAAGGCAGAAGATTTTCCTCAAGAATTTGATGGTATTTTGCCCCATCCAGTCCCTGCTGCAGAGAAACACCTCCATGCTTTACTGTAGGAATTTGGATGGTGAGCTGTATTGGATTTCCGCCAGACATATCTTTTGGTGTTGAGGCCAAATAATAAAATTTTAGTCTCATCTGCCTGAGAACCACTTGAGAATCAAGTGGCCTTTCTTGAGGAATGGCTTTTTCTTGTTGCAACCCTTCCATACAAGCCACATTTGTGGAGAATTTGTGATATTGTTGTCACATGCACACAATGACCACTCTTTGTCATAAATTCCTGCAACTGCTTCAGAGTTGCTGTAGGCCTCTTGGTCGCCACTCTGACCAGTTTCCTCCTGGCTCTTTCATCCAGTTTGGAGAGACGTCCTGATCCAGGGAGGATCTGTGCTGTACCAAATACCTTCCACTTCTTAATAATAGACTTCACTGTGCTTCTAGGCATTGATAAAGCCTTTTTATTTAACTTTTTTTTTTTTATAAATATTTGTATCCATCTCCTGACTTGTGCCTGTCCACAACTTTTTCCCGGAGATCTTTTGACAGTGCCTTACCACCCATACATAGTTGATTGCTTGCTTCAGTTGCACTACCAAAGACTGAAATGCTCCAAGAAAGTGCTTTTCATGCTGAGCTATTCAAAGTGACTACAGCTGATCACAGCTTTGTGAGCCATTGAGAAGGTAAGTCATTTTTAGGAGGGAGTGATCCTTTTTACAACTCAATGATTCTGTTATTTTGTTTCTGACATGTCGGTGTTATATCTTTTACTTGGATGTTATAAATTACACTGAGTAAATACAGGTGGATAAAACAAAAACATTTCAGGCTGCAAAGCAACAAAATGTAATTATGTTAAAGGGGGGTGATATACCCACTGTTTGTCTGTCTGTCTGTCTATACACATATTAATACACACATATACATATTAATAAAAAAGAAAATTATTATTGTGGAATACTTTTTATCATGCATATTAAATTGAAAATAAAAGCAATCTTTTGAACTAAAAAAGTGAAACTATTATGATTCATAATACATTATTTTTTATGTTTCTATTTTTGTAAGAGTTAAAAAACAAAAACAAACAAAATGCAACAGACCAATATTACAGGAGAAGCAGGTTTTAGTAAAAATAACCCTTTTATTATCTTATTTTCTTATAACATAATTATAAAATGCCACACTATTAATTATTTTATATTAATTAACAAGAATAACACCATTACATGTGTTATTGTTAACTAATATATATATATATATATATATATATATTAAAAAAATTTACAATATAGATATGTTTTAAAGAACAGAGACTAATAAAAAATGCCAAAAACACACAGCATAATTACTAAAACCAACTAAAATTAAAATATTGTCAAACACAATTATAGTAAATTAATTATACTGAAATAACACAGATTGTCACATGACCTCATATTCACTGAGTTATCACGATAAATAAGTTATTATGCCTTCTTTATTTAATTTTGTACAATTGAGTACATTGCAATTTGTATATCAAATATAACGCAGACACCACAACAGTAAAAATACACTAAATAAACCACACACAGTGAAAAAATAGTGTAATAATACTACGAATATTGAAGCTATATAAACGAGGCTGTGCGATGTTGCAGCAAGCAGCTGTCATTCGGCGTAACTGAGGGCACGTAAACTGCGCTAGCGCGACGCACAGCCCCCCAGACTGACTGACGGGCCGGCAGAGAAGCGTGGTGAGCAGCAGACAGCGGCATCTCTCCCTACGAAAACATTCAAGGTAAAATCATTAAACACGCCGGTTTTTTAATGACAGTATATCAGATATTGAGGGTATTTATTTTACTGCATGTTTACAGAGTTTTCCTACTATAATCATGTAGCCGGTGTTTGTGTGAACTCCTCTGATTTTAATCCTACCGCGGTCGTGCCGAGAAAATACGCTGTTTAAAATGAATTGTTTTAGCGTGGCTATCGAATGCATAAGGTTTAATGGGTTTTTATATCTGCATTTTCAATAATAATGTGCACAAATATGGTTTATTGTATAGCAACTGTCTGTTGTTTTGGATTGTGTACATTAACGGGGGTTGAGCAGAAACTCGTGTACGCACACGTTGTTGGGCGAAGGTGTGTCCTTCGGGGAACCGAGTCAGCCAATCAGAGCACAGCTTCCGCCCCCAGTGGGAAGGTTGTTTTTTGCTGGATGGGAACGCCCATTACGAGAGTCCCAGCTAAAGTATGGATCTGGATTAAACAAATGGCACAGCTTGATTTAGCTGTTCAAGCTATATTCAAACTAGAATAGCATTTCCGAAAGAAAATACAAAATGTTTGCATTTTAGGCAGGCCTATGTTGTCGGCGTTGGCTTTGTGTGAATGAGGCAAGCATCTTATTTTCTGTCAGCTGTGGTCGAGACTAGAATCAACACATAAGTGTAAAGGTGGATATGAGCTGGTAAATACGTTCAAAAATACAAAAAGTCGAAATACAAATGGATGGTATTTTGTCAAAATAGATGAAAATGCAATAGAGACATCGAGTTGGTGGTTTCTAACGAACCGGTTGAGTGAATGATTCATATGAGCCACTAATAAAAGACTCGCTTACAGTGTATCCAACAGTACATGATACAACAGAAAGGACCACTGAACGAATCAGTGAACGAATCTTTTAGTGAAAGGATTCTAAACACTCGAGTCACTAAATTGAATCCGAATTCCGTTGCTGGATTTGGATCTCTCAGTGATTTCACTCCCCAAATCCGGAGTTACAGTATCTGAGAGGCTCGCATTCAGGAGGTGTGTTGCCCTAAAAAAAAAAGTAAAGGTACAGAGCAATATCCGACTGCGCTGCTTATCTGTATGCAAAAATCTATCGCGTGTGTTCGATAAAGGTATTTTTTTGATTGTTACATTGTTGTCGTTTTCATGTAAGTCTCACAATATGAGTAATTAATTTACACTAAAAGACTCGTATAAGTGCTTTGGTTTTTAATAGAGGGTGTTGCTTGTAAATGTAATTAATTATTTATTATTTTGCACGTTTTCATCGCCTCGTGGCGCTATTGCTGAGCTTGTGAGTTGTTATAAGTCTGCTTGGCGATTAGATGAAAACATGTACTGTAAACGCACGGTGTTTTAACATGCTTTTCCCTGCTTTGTAGCTTGTTGTACAGAGAGCCAACGCCGATTGTTTAGCTGAGAGACACAGCATGGCAGCGGTGGGATCCAGAGCAGGACTGGACACGATGGTCACAGAAGGGCAGGACGGGTTGGTATGTATCATAATAAATGATATATAGCCCCTGTAACTTAGACATGGAAGATGGAAAGTGTGGATAGTCAGTATGTGATTGATTGTTTCCAATCATGCAGGTCTACATGCAGTGTTGTGGGCAGGGAGAAGGGGTGGGTCTGCAGAGGAAGCTGAATGCAGGACCTGGGACAGAGTGGTCAGCCAATGTAAACACACAGCAAACAAACCTTTTATCCTTCCCACGGTCTTCCGGTGTGGACTTACCTTACAGGTTAACCTACAGATCCATTTCATCCGTTTAGTTTGTTGTCTTCTAAATATAATATAATATCAGCCCTTCTTCATTTTAGACTACACCTAAGTCTGTTAGAGCAGAATAACTCTACAGATAGTGTGTGATGCAAGGTGAAATGTCATTGTGGGCATTATGTTCTTACTTCATAGATGTGTAATGCAGTGTAATGTAGACTTGAACAGTTTTTAGTCTCTGCCTTATTTTAGAAGTCCTGAGTCGGTGGAGATGGATGAGATCATGGCTGCTATGGTGCTCACCAGTCTGTCCTGCAGTCCAGTGGTCCAAAGCCCCCCGCAGAGGGACCTCCTACCAGGTGAACTGGTTTCTTTTGCAAACCACACCTTGCCAAACACAGAACAATTTGTAGTGTATGCTGGACAAACTAGTGCAGACAATTTTATTTTAAACAAAGTCTCATCAGATTTTAGATAGAAACTAGTATATTTTTAGTAGACTTTTTGTTTATATTTTTGCTCTTTCAAAAGTTTTTTATTAATTTTACTTTTTTTAATTATATACTTATTATATATTTTTAATGATCTAGTATAACACACAACCCAACAATTAATTTAGCAATTTTATGGTTTTGTCACTCTTTTTTTTGTTTTATTAATTTCTCTTTTTAATTATAAACTTATTTGATTTTTATATTATATTTTTTATTATACATTATAACACACAGCCTAATGATTAAATTTGCAACTTGCTCTTTCATTATTTTTTGTTTTATTAATTTGACTTTAATTATACACTTATTAGATTATATAAATATTTAATTATTATAGAACATTTTTATTATACAGTCCAACATGCAATCCAAAAATTAAGCAATTAATAATTTAATTAATTTTTCTCAGTCAAATATTTTCAGTCAAAAGTTTTTAAAAACTATTAATTTCACTTTAAATTTAGACTAATTTAATTATGTAAATAATAATTATATTACATTTTTAATACACTCCAACATGCAACCCAACAATTAATTTACCAGTTCTGTGGTTTTGTCACTCAAATATTTATTTTAATTTGTTTTATTAATTTAACTTTTTAATTTAACATTTAATTATAAGATAATTATATTTTTTATTTAACAGTATAACACACACCCCAACAATTAATTTAGCAATTGTACGGTTATGTGTTATTCACACTTCCCCTTTTTTGACTGTGATTTATAGGGGACATGGAGTGTTGCGGAGGTGAGCTGTCTGACAGCGGCAGCAGTGGTTACTGGAGCTGGGACCATGGCAATGTCAGCCCAGCCCCTTCTCCATCAGTCACTGAGATGGACAGGAGCTTGGGCCAACCGACAGATGAAGGACTGCACATGGAGCTGGACCAAGCTGCATGTGAGGAGCCGAAGGCCAGGAGGTGCAAGGTGAGAATGAGAAGACTGTCAGACTGCTGAACCGAAGGGTGAATAGACAGCATTTGAAGCTGATGCTTTAAAAATACACGTGAGTCACTCTTTGTTTTTCTTTCTCATTTACAGAGCTTGAGCAGGGGAGCATACAGGTGTCTGTGGCCTGGCTGCGGGAAAGTGCTGACATCCCGGGTTGGAATGAAACGGCACATTCGCATTCTTCACCTGGGGTGAGTATCCTCACACACCAAACTCTTGGAACAAATGAGATGGCACAGGAAAGTTATGAGACATCTTTAAGCAATGCCAGTGTTTATTATGTTGAAAAAACATATATAATTCTACAAGTTTACATAATTTACTAGGTCTGCAAATAACCTGCAAATAATGTTTTATTTTTTCCCTTTATTTTGTTTTCTCTCAAACAGTGGGGGCTCAGAGCAGTCGCATAGGGAAGAAGACTTCTACTACACAGAGGTCTCCTCTGAAGATGAGGAAACTGCACCTCCATCTCCTGCACCATCCTTCTCCAGCGGGACCTGGACCTCCTGCAGCTCCACACAAAGCCAATCCACCCCAGGACACCAAGATGCTCCAGTCCAGTCAAGCCCACTCAGCCAATCAGCTCCAAGCAGCGTGTGGCAGATCCACACTGAACATCTCTATCAGGTACTGATCAGATGAGATAATGATGAATGATTATAATCTGAAAATAATGATAATCTGACAGATTATCTGATGCTGTTTTGAAATTAAAGGTATAGTTTAGGGATGCACGATAAAGCGAAATGGAATCGAGATCGCGATTCGACAGAAGCTGCGATTGTCATGATGATAATTTTCTGCTGATTACAGAACCGGCATTACTATCAAAATGCGCATGACAATCGCATTCGATTAATCGTGCAGCCCTAATATAGTTCACCAAAAAAAGACAAGAAAATTCTGTCATTGTTTACTCAACCTCATGTCATTTCAAACCCATAAGACTGTTTAATCTTCGAAAACAAATTATTTTTAATGAAACTTGAGAGGTTACTGTCCCTCCATTGAAAGTCCAGGTAACCAAAACTTAGAAAATCCAAAAAGGTAATAAAGGCATTCTAAAAACAAATACATATGACTCGGGCAGTTAAATCTAAGTCTTTTAAAGAGACACAATGGCTTTTTATGATGAACATATTTCATTTAATGAGTGAACTATCCCTTTATTACTCATTTTAGAAACAAACAAAATCTTGTAAAAAAAAATATAAAAATCGTTGTGACTTTAAAGTGTGTTTTGTTTTTCCCATCACTGTGTTGATTTCTGCAGGCCTGCACACCCGTTCAGGTGATGGTCTCTCCAGGCTCTCCCACCTTTTGTAGCTGGTCCCCATCTGGTGATTTCCAGCAGAAACCTCAGGTTGGTCCGCCTCTCCTAAAGCACTTAACATCGTAGATGAAGCATTTTAAAACACTTTATCCGATCTGTCCTTTTATTACTATGTTGATCTGTAGATTCCAGCATCTCGCAGCCGGTCAGTGAGTGTTGGAGAGCAGTGGCTACAGAGGAACAGCGCCCCCACCAGATCCCAGACCATGAGCACATCTCCCTCCAGAGGGCACTGTTCATTCAGGTATTTGCCCATGCTTAGTTAAATGCTGCCCTCTGAAGTTATGAAAAAGATCTCTTAAAGGGCTCATCAGATGAAAATCTAACTTTTTCTGTGTTTAAGTGCTATAATTGTGTGTCTGGTGCATCTACCAACTCAGAAAACATGAAAGAACCCAGTAAGTTTGCTTTTGTAAGCCTTTCTCTGCAAGCATGTGAGAAAATGAGCCGATCAGATTTCTCTCCCCCTCTGATGTAGGAAGGGGTTCTTATTATAATATTACCGCCCATTAATCTGCACTTAGCCGCCATTGTTGTTTTCACAAGCGACAGCGGTGTACATGTTCTGACGCAAAAGTCCGCAGAAAACATGCTAAATGTTCTGTTGTTGGCTGCACAGACGAACACAAATCATTATTTCACGAGTTCGCAGTAACATATAATATAATTGAGCAATTAGTAGTATATTTGGCATGCTGTCCAGAGGGAGGGCTCCGAGCTCGGGATAGAGCCTGAACCCAGAGAACCCCCCCCCATCCCAAGAATGGGATGAAATTAGATTAAGAGTGAGGTGTTGGGGTGGAGGCGGGATGCTGGAAAACTGTCGGGGGACAGAGGTAAGTTGGCTGTATATATACACGTATTGTGCTTGTTAAGGTGATTAGCTGACGAGATCCACCTGGGCCAGACTGATTGATTATCTGATCGTGCTCCTTGTTAACCTTGTTAATGAAACCTCATTTAGAGTCCCAGCCTCAGAGTAGACAAGAGAAGAGTGGATTTATTTTATTTTTAGTGGAAATCCCGGAAGGGGGGTGGGGTGCGCAGCAACTCATTATCATTTAAAGAGACATTCACCAAAACGGTTTGGTGTGAGCAGAGCTGTTTTTGACAAGGCAAAAAGGGTGTTGTTTACACAGCCATTGAGTGTTTTTAAGTCAAATAAGTTAGAAATTTTATGAAGACCCTAATAAGTCATGCCAACTTGTGGAAAATGTTCATCCGATGAGCCCTTTAAGCAAAGATACATTTCTATTAATGGGATGTTTTGAAGTCATAAATATTAATAAGACTGGTCACTCTGACTGCATTATGTTTCTCCACAAAAGTCATTTTTAAAAGTTATATCTTGCAGAAATAAGATAACTCTACATTTGAATATTTTCAATATACTGTATATATATTATTTTCGTGTCCTTAGGAAAAGCCGAGGTGAGGCCAAAAAGTGCCGAAAAGTGTATGGCGTGGAGCGTAGGGACCAATGGTGCACCGCCTGCCGCTGGAAGAAAGCCTGTCAGCGGTTCCCAGACTAAAAAAAAGACAAGGAAGAATCTCCATTTTCTTTCTTACCTCCAACTATTCCCTGCACTGTAGAGGACCTGTTTTTTTCACTTTTCTAACTTTTTTTTTTTTGTTTTGTTTTCCTACCAGAGTTAAAAGTGTTTTGTTATGTTTTCCCACAAAGTGAACACTGGTACTAGCTGTCGAGACTGTGGAATAGTAGGATCCCAACCCCTCAAAGTTGCATTCTGCCCTCTCATGAGATTGAAGTGTAATCCTGTATCTGATCAAGGTGTTTTTCTACCCCAGTCCTGCACTTCATCCATACCTGAGATATTTAAGTGATTGTTGATTTTTGTATACTGTGGACAATGTATTGCTTTGAGCATTTTCATTATGTTTTTCTATTGCTGTTTTGTTAGCCTGAAAGGTGTAACAGTATAATGTCATGTATTGTCTTTTTTTTCTACGTATTTACTCTGAATTTAGTCACAACTTTTGAGTTTCGCAAGGTTTGACTAAGGTCGTATGCCATAGCGCTTCCTAATCTAAACTGCCAGATATAAAGCTACAGTGGTGATGAGTGAATGATGTTGGCCACATCAGTGGCTACAGTATGTTGTCTGATGGAGATAAAAGTGCAGCTATAACCTTTTGATTGAATACCAAAGTGCTATTGCAAAGAGTTAAAGGGAGCTTGACTGAATATTGCCCATAGAATAGATTGGGCTTGTTTCCTTTAGTATGTTTTGTCATCCTTCCAAAAAGTGTTAAGGTCTTGTACAATACTGGAACATCCCCTTGGGAACATCTAAAAGGATTTGAAAGTATAACATCATATTGAGAAAAAAAGAAGAAGATACTATGTATGATTAAAAAGACACAAGATAAAATATGCAAATTTCAAAAGCTTGTTATTTGTGCATGACAAATAACAAGAACAATCGTAAAATTCGTTTATTTGCCTTTTGTGTGCATTTCGTGTACAAGAGGAAAGGATTAAAAGAAAAGAAAAGAAAAAACACTCCAAAAATGCTTGCAGAATGTGTTTGAAATGAAAAATATTCACAAAGCCAAGATGTCTACACACAAAACCATACATTTATATGCAGAATACTGTAAAGTACACCGAAAGACTATTTGCTAGTACTTTCTTTACATGTGGGGTGTCAGTTTTCAAAACCCATTCTGATTATTAATGTGAGGGAGAGTCTGTCAAGCACTAAGATGAACATGCACAAACAAATGCAGAAAGCTGGAACACATGCTAAGCCGCATTTCTGCAGCACCAAACTGATTTGCAAAAATAATGACTGAATAGTTTTTAAACATATACTGATCCACATTTTTTATTGTTAGGACAAAATGGTAATCCCGCCCCAAGACTCACGCCATTGGCAGAGAGCCGCCCCCACGTATTCTGATTGGCTAACATGCGTGGGCCGCTGTTTTGTTTACAAAGCCTAAAGTTGTCGTTTATTTTCAATGATAATAGAGTGGTGGAACTATGATGTCACTTTGTAGGCAAAAACCCGGAAGCGAGTTAGCATTTTAGCACTTCCGGTTCCATCGTCCCAGAGTCGATGGGTTTTTTGAATTGGATATTGGTTAAACCGCTAAAATAAGGTCCGTGGTTCACACAGGCTCAAGATACTTTCACGTTTTATTCCACGACATAAAACACACCAGTTACACCCCACTCGTAATTTTGTTTAAACTGTTACGTTTCTTAAAAAATACGGTTGCTAACAAGTTGCTAAATGGGACTACAGGCGCTGTCGGAGACATTAAACGTCATCACGCCGAACAGTTGACCAATTTACAGTATTTTCCAGTCGTAGTATAATTTGTAATACAATTAATTGTAGAATAACCAATTAATAGTTTCCCGCATTTTATATTGTTGGTCGACTGTTTTTTTGTGAATAGTTCGTGGAGACACGTTTTTAATTAAAATATTCATATTAATTAAGGATTTATTGACTTTAAATGAATGTACAGAAATATGTGCTTTCATAGTCCTTTAGTTATGATTATTTCATTTATTCACTATACTATTTATTATCAATGTCTCATTTCAGTTTTAGTTTGGCTCTAGTTTTGTATTTATTCTAGTTTATATAAAAAGGTTCATGTAGCATGGATTAAAATTCATATACAGAGTACATACTGAACACGTTAAAAATAAATTTGAAAAAGTTGTGGGAAGTGTGGTGGTGGTGACGCTGAAGGCGAGCGACCGTGGTGCTGTAGTTCGTTTATAGCATAAGTTTAGCTTTTAAGTTCTGGCGCTTTTTTTTAGGCTTCAAAATTCATCACAGTTATATTATTTTGTGAAGATTATCTTGATGGACAAAACATGTAAGTTTCATGAACTATGGTTGAACACAGAGCTTTTTTTTATTTTTTATTTTTATTTTTATTTTTTGCGATAATCCAAAAGCCTATGGAAAAATCCTATGTGACTATGACTACAAAGTGACGTCATAGTTCACCCACTCTATTGTAAGGATTTTATGCGTGGTATTCCTCAAAAATACGGAGTGTAAGCCCTAGGGGGCAGCATTGGTCTAAAAAACGCCAAACAGCCCGTAAAGAATAACGTTCTTTCAGTATTGTACTACATTTAATCACCTATTGATTTTGATAACTCGTTTGATTGCTCTAGTAATTTTTAAGACAGTTCTATACATCAAGGATGTGTGCAAAACAGCCAATCGTAGCACAAGTCAGTGTGCAAGGTTAAAATATAAAGTGCTTTTCTCTCAGTAATCACCAAACAGAACAAGAAAACCCAATACTCCACTACAACCCACTGCTCTCATTTGTAACTGATTCACGTGCTCAATTCAAGTTTCACTGCCTTTTTTTTATTTTGTATAATGCTTCAAGGTTAATTCTAGGAGTTTTGATTCTGAAATGAACAATCAGTTCTCATCAGCAACATTTGTCCTAACGACTTGATCGAGGTGTTTTTGATGTCAGGAACGGCACCATGGAAATGTCAATAATAAAAAAAAAACAATGCTATTCAAAATATTCCTGTTCTTTGATTAAACAGATTTATCTAGTTCTGGGCTGTGGTGCATGATAGACATTCACAGTTACTGATGGCTGATGAGCAGTTGAGTTGAGGTAAGTGAAAAGACCAAGGCCTGTACTATAAGCCCAACTAAACTTCATTCTGTCTTCAGATTCTGGTGGAGAGGTTGCTGGTGTGACCTGAACGCCCCGAGCGCCCCGTCAAGCTCAGGTACTGCCTCAGTAGCTGACTCACGCGCTTCTGGTTGTTCCACTTGCGGGCAGATTTCCTTATCCCTATGAAGCCACCGTAGCGTTTCTGCAAAGGCCTTCCGGAGCTCACCAACTTCCGGAAACCGTGACGACCTTTCATAAAGCCTCCAAATCGCTTGGATATGCTTACAGCTGCCTCACCGCTCTTCTCTTCTCCTACGCTATCCTGGTCCTCCTCTGTCCTAGGGTCAAGGTCTCGGTCATATGAAATTTCGAGTTTCTCCTCCTCTGAAGGCTGCTGGCTGCGGAGCGCTTGCGCGGCGTGTCGAAACTGCTCCAAAGCCTCAGTATACTCAACACCATTGTCATTTTCTATGCTCACTGTGGCCAGAGGCTCCTCTTCATCATCATCAGAGCGCTTTGAAGTTTCCTCCTCCTGTAACAGTGGTGAAAGGTGTTTCAGACCTGCTGCTTGGTAACACAAATCCCAGGTCAATGCAGGTGTTGCCTGTGATTCACATTCCAGAATACATACCTGCAAAACAGCAGAGATTTTTTTTTTTGCATGACAAAATATTTTTATAATAGAAAATTTCATTAAATAAAATGGACAAATATCGATCCAATTGGACCGAACATACTCAAAAAAAAATAAACACTGCCATTTTTATTCCTCTCTCTCTCTCTCTCTCTCTCTCTATAGATATAATATCAAAAATACAGTAAAAACAGTAATACTGTGAAATATTATTACAATTTAAAATAACTGCTTTTTATTAATATATTTTAAAATGTAATTTATTCCTGTGCTGGCAAAGATGAATTTTCAGCAGCCATTACTTCAGTTTTCAGTGTCACATGATCCTTCAGAAATCATGCTAATATGCTGCTTTTGTGCTTAAGAAACATTTCTTATAATTATCAATGTTGAAAACAGTTGTGCTGCTTAATAATTTTGTGGAAAACAAATTTTTTTCAGGATTATTTGATAAAGTTCAAATGACAGAACAGAATTGATTTGAAAAGGAAATATTTTTTAAAATGATATAAAATGTCTTTATTCCTGTTTTGGTATGTTTTATTTATATTTTCATTAGTTTCTTGTGTAATTTGTTCTTCATAAAAATGGATAGAAGAAAATGTCCCATTCAAAAAGAGAATACATTTTTTTTCCTTTGTTGGAGATTTATCATGGTTTTATTAATGATTTGAGCTAAGTATAAAAAATTCCTTGTGGCACAATGCTCCATGCAAATGGTCTTACCAGTGCAATGAGATGTGAAATGATATGTGGCATTGGTGCAAGAAATTATATGATAATTGAGTGAATAGAATGGGATAAAAATCATCATTTTGTATGTGATCAGCAATCCTCAGCTGTAGACAAATGCAGGTTCTTTCCACAAAATGTTAATGTAATGCCCTTTTTAAGGATGGGTATGCAGCAGGTGAGCAATTTTTTATTATCTCCCATTTATAGGGAGAAAATCAAAAATGGTGTAGTGACTTAAAACAGTCGAGTGAAACTAGAAGATGAATGCATGGAAGTTAATAGGCCACTGTGCATTAAATGTTGATGGCAAATGAAAAACATTCAGACAGAAAATAGAAGACACAATATATATGGGGATAGTTATGAAATACAGATCTACATGTGTTTCGGAACACACACATGCATACCTTTAAAAATAAAGGTTATTTTATTGGCATTCATGGCTCCATCAATTTAACATCCATGGAACCTATCCATTACACAAAAAGTTCTTTAGTGGAAAAAATTTCTTTCGATTTTTTAAATGTTCTTCACACTAAGGGAGCGTGAAAACACTCTTCATAAGTCTATGTATGAATCTGTTGATGAAATGTTAATGTCTGACACCACTGTGGTGTCACAGAGCAAAAGCATGACCACAGGGACCCATCTGGCTGTGGCAAGAGCACCTCCACCAAGTGTCAATCACTCCTACCCGCAACATCAGCAGCTGACGGCACCACAGCAGCCAATTATGGGCAGACATTACCCCAATCACCCCAGTCACAGCTGTTTGGTCTGAACAATCATTAGCAACTTGATTATACCCACTATCGTGACAGAAACCAACTTTTAACAAAGTTCATTTGTATCAGTTTTCTCATCCACTCTTGCTGTAAGATATCTTACAGACATCTTTGATTTATATCCATGTGCTTGCTGAGCATTTCGTTTCAAAACCATGAACATTAATAGGGAGTTTGTAGTTTTATATTAGTTAGACGTGGCACTTACCAATGTATTAAACGCTTGGTGTTCAGGTAGGACGAGTCCACAGGTTAAACAGTCCCCTTGGCAGTTGCTGTGACCTGGGGTGCACAAGTATAAGAGCAGCAGGGTCCAAAATGGGGTCTTCATGATGTCTTCAGAGAACACACTCCGGAACAAACAACTGAAGCAGGAACTTGGAGTAACCAATGGGATATCTGACGAAGGAAAGAGAAGAGTAGAAGGGTAAGATGTTTCACTGGTAATCATTCTCCAGTTTTCAGTTTATTACATGAACCTTTTGCTGTAAACCAGGGGCTAGAATAACTGAATGTTTTGTTACAGATGCTCTAAGAAATGTATTGTGGTTAGTTTCATAAAGTAACAGAGCAAATTTTAAGTGGTTCCAAGATAAATTCAGAAAAAACTCCTAAAAGTCTAATGGAATATGCTAAATGTAATTTAGCTACATCAGGGATTCTAATTTGAATAAATTGTGCCCCTTGGCTTCATCTTGCTTAGTTCTTACACTCATTTTACAGCTCCAGTACCAGGGTTTTCAGCCAGGGGAAAACGCTTCAGGGACCCTGTGGAGAGGATTCTTACACTTTATCACATTTCTCACTATATAAGTTTGGGGGCCGGTTTTTTTTTTTTATATTAAAAAAAAAAAAAATTTTTTTAGCTTAGAATATACTGTATAATACTTATATTAATTATCACTTTGATTTGAATGATTTCTGAAGGATAGTTTCAAACTGAAGACTGTAATAATGGCTGCTGAAAATTCAGCTTTGCCATCACAGGAATCAATTACAATTTAAAATGCATTAAAATACCAAAACAGTTATTTCTTAATTATAATAATATTTAACAATATTACTGTTTCTATTTTTTTTTTCATCAAACAAATGCAGTCTTGGTGATCATAACAGACAAAAACATAAAAAAATTGTAGTGAAAAAAGTCTTGCATTTTCATACATTTTTTTTTTAACATTTGGTAATGATCTGTGATCTAATGGAGTAATATGAAAGCAATTATGAAATATTACCACGCAAATCTTATACATTACACATTTAATACATTTCAAAAGGACGTTCACAGGGTTGGATGTGCACATTTGTCAATCTGATCTGTAGCTAATCAGCTCAGGAAACACCTTTTTTCAGCCTTGTCAGTCAGCTAAACGAATTCCTGCTAATCACAGATATTAGGTCTGATAATAAGGCATTTTAAAGATAAACCCAGAAATGGGTCCAGTTTTCCCTAAAGCCAAACACATGTCCCTCTAGAGAGAAGATCACCTCATGACAATCACAATGAAGACCGAGCCCTCGAAGTGAATCAAACATATTTTAAACATTCACACATGAAATATAACGTAATGATGTGGATCACCACCACTACTGTCACCACTGAAACATGTCAAAATTTGCAGGCGAGGCCACCATCTGTTTTTTTTTGCCAACACATCATGAAGTTCATTAAGGAAACTCATCATAGGCCCTAATTGATGTTTGAATTAGCGTTTGTGGCATGAGAAGGAAATGAGTGCGGGAGAGAAAGAGCGGGAATGCAGTTCCCATCAAACTCTGACTCCCGCGCTGCACCAGCACACATTAGTCATGACCGCATTAGGAGAGAAACGCACACATGTACACTCATCTCTAAAAGCTTTCTTTGATGAAAGCCAACAAAAAATCTTTCGGTGAACTCCAGAGCAGTGATGAAAAGTTGACAATAAAAGCATCTTGAGATGTCTCTGCTCAGAGAGCAAAGAGTATGTATAATTATAGCCCCTCATGTGGACATGGGTATCCAGAGCACTCTGGACTACCAAAAGGCTCGACACAAAAAAAAGTTTTCCAACCAATTAAATCCCTTGCATCATTAATACAGTTCAATTTGCAGAGTGATTTGATGGTACTTTTTTAGGATCATCCCCTGCTACAATCTCTTATTTGTCGGAGATAATGGAAAACATGAAAACAGCTGGAGGGAAAGTGCAAAAGCATCAACCTCCGCAACTGTCAAATGCAATATTAATACTGTGCCTGTATTATTTAGCAGAGAGACAGATGTGTCCTGTTTGACCTGTAAGGTACTTGTTGACCCTAATTTCATAGGATATATGTCCTTCAAAAATTATTAAATGATATATGATACATGTTGTTCCAAACCCTATGACTTTCTATCTTGAGTGTTTTTTGTCCATACAATGAAAGTTAGTGGGGTCCACTGTTGTTTTGGTGACTTTCTTTCTATAGACAAATTTGGGACAACATGAGGGTGAGTAAATGATGACAACATTTTCATGTTGAATCTACACTTTACCTGTAGTGCTCAAAATAAGCTACTAATTTTTAGTTAAATATCAAGCTGAAAACAAAAAATTATTAAAAAGGCAATATTTTTTTTTAAATGTAATTACATATATATATATATATATATATATATATGCGCTTTCATTTATCATTTTCTAGCCAAGTCAACTAATTTATAGAGCATGTTTAAAATAAACAGAGGCTAAGCTGAAGTGCTGTCCAGTATAGAATAAAAAAGGAAAATATGAGAAATAAATGATAAAGCAATAGAACAAAACAAGAAAAAAATTGATAAAATACAGGTGCATAATTAGGGGTTTTGTCCAAATAATTAAAGTTAGGCTCCAGTGTTGTTTTGAACCCTAGTGACTTTAATGGTTTAGACAAAAAGGTTTGGATTGACATGAGGGTGAGTAAATGATGACAATATTTTGGGTGATGAATTTCTGAGTGAATGTCTGCGAGTCCTAGTGTAATGCTCATAGAGGGATGATCTGTCCGCAGTCTTTGACTAATCTAAGGGAATGCGACTAATCTGATTTGACCGGTCTGCTCGCCCTCTACAGCCACCTGATCGTATCACCTCCACGGTAAACACCAAAGCCCATTCTCATTCTGTTCCCGCGCTGTGGCTGAAACACAAATGCTTGAACTGAGTCACCACCAGATTCTGGAAAATCACGTCTGCTTTTCTTCTGCTTTCTGTTTTGTGCATTTCCCATTATAATTTTTGTTGGTCAACTGTGTCATGACATGTCAAGAATGAGCAAATAACAATTACTTTTGTTTGTTTTTTCCACAGCAGATGGAAGGAGGACCATGACCTCTTTCTCATTTCTCATTCACATTAATATCATCCGCTGAATGCGAAGGTTCTTCATCTTGGATTTATTACTCTGTAAATGATAGCTCACCTGTTTGCTATATCTAGCAATTTTTTTTGTTCTTCGTAATAGCATTGTATCAAAATAATCTAGGCTCTTCTCATTGTCATAACCATTTCCATTGAGGAATGGAGGATTCGCATGGTTACTTTAATTGAGAGCACAATGATTGCCAGAGGGCTCAGAGTCTGCAGTCCCGTTGCAGATGATCATGCTCCCCTCCACACACTCTGCCTCTTCACTGGCAGAACAGCAGCAATCATTGCATTATCGTCCCCGTGGCCATGACAATGAGCAGAGAATTTACCATAAAAAGATGGAGGGAGGGAGTGAAAAGTTTCTTTATTTATTTTTGAAGGACTATCGGTATGATATTTCAATTGTGAGGAGAAAATGCAATAAATGCCACTGTCACCATCATTTAAATCAAAAGCAGTGGTGAAAGTAAATGGCCAGATGGATAGACTGTTTGTCTCATGGAAAGTCACAATTTCTTCACAGGGTTTGCAATTTCCAAATCAAAATGTCTCGGGCTTCAGAAAAAGTTGTATTTGAATAATAATGCTCGCAATGAGCTGCAGAGATGTAGTATGAAATTTCTATGCATGGCATATAATCCACAGCATAAGAATGTAGGAACTAAGCAGTATTCAGGACGGCTATCGTATGATAGAGATACTATGACACTATGTGTGTATATATAGTCCAAGTTCAGGAGCAGCTGAGATCATGAGGATGGAATAAAATACAACTAAGTGTCACAATTATGCATAATACAGTAGGAAAAGTGAACACCAGATATGGCAGCTTTGACTTTATACTGGTTCTATCCAAGTGATTCCTCGATTCTGTACAGTTGTTGTTTTTTTTTCATTGCAATTAATATTGAATATGTCGCTCAAGCTTAAATCTTGTCAGCTTCTGGAAATCCATTGAGAGCATTAATTTATTTAATAGATTTTTTCTCGCCTGTGTAAAAGAATACAACTCTGATAGATGTACATAATTAAGCTTGCAACACTTCTGCTCGAATGGATTTTAGGGTAAAAAAAATCTATTTACACAGCTCAGGTAATTAATTTGAGGAAAACTAGTCTCCCTAATGCAGTGCAAAGTTTTTAAATAATTACGCTAAATTGCAGCTTTAATTTTTTATTTCATAGAGGATTGTTGCATGAATTTATTATGGCATGCATAATGTTTAATTTGGAAGATTTATTTAGATGCGGTGTATGTCTTGACTTTGCCTTAGTCAAAAGATGTAAGCAAAATCAAAGACCTATTTAAACTTTTCATAAATTGATTTAAAAATATATGTAAAATTTTCATGTATGAATCTATGAAGACATTTTGCAGGCCTTAAAAAGAGATTTGATTGCTTCTTGCAGAGTATGAAGTGCTTCATACAGAATATGAAAATCAATAAAGTTAAATATAAAATGAAAAATATGTAATTATTCTCCTTAATTTGGGGAAAAATTAAAAAATCTGAAATTCAGCTTTAGCTTGATATATATTAATTTACATAATTTAAATATGATTTGATTATTTTTTGTATTGTTATATGTTGTTTATAAAACACAAAATATACTTAAACAATAAACCATAATTAACAATAAATAAAATTGTTAAATACAATCAACATACTGATAGGTTAATATAAGTTAATATTTGTGCCTTGCCTTCACAAAAAAATACTTGGATTATGGGTAAATTATTAAACCATGCAACATAAATATACAGCATGTTATATACAGTCTTTTTATTAGTGATTGTTATTTACTAATGTAAAAGAATTGTTGTCCTGTAGAAGCAGGAAACACTCATATAAATGAATAGTGCACTTGTTGCTATTCTGTGCAGGCTGTAATAACATGAAATATTGGAACATTATGCGCAAAATGCTGTGCTAGTTGATTAAAGGGAGTCTCAGTGTACACATTGTGTTACGTTTAG